ATCCTCAGTGTGTTGCTGCCGTTGGTACCTGTGGTGGGCAGTGACCGTGATGCGTGCTCTGTTATCAGTTGCCTTTTATTTTCCGTGCATGAAAGTGGCTTGGTAGCCATCTCAGTTTACTCCTCAGTAAAAATAAATATATCTCATGTTATATGGATTCTTCCTGTGTATATTGCATTTCTTAACTCAAAAGCTGGTCGAGGCTACAGGGTTTTTACGAAGGGAAAATATCAAAGCCTAAGGGATCTGGCCTGAGCAGAGGGTTGTTAAGGAAACAAAGGAAGGATGGAGTGGGTAGATCATTACCAAATGGCCCAGCTACACGGGCTCTGCTTCTCTAATGAGCCTGACAGCATGCAGAGCCGCCTCCCTCTTCATATGTAAAGCAAATCCCTTGCCCTTTCTGACAGCCGCTATTTACATCTGCAAATGAATCCATTTTCCAGCATCCCCAAGCAGAGGCAGGCAGAGATCAGAGGGAGCCGGGCGTGCTGCACACACCGCATCGGGAGCACGGCCCTCCCGGGCAGCACCTGCCTCTCGTCCAGTATCCATCGTCCCAGAACTGGAGGAGGAAACGCCTCGGTGCAAGAATACTCATGGGGCTGCCATCTGATTGGGCCGAAACTCTTGTGCCTCTGTCACCCGTTACTGCAGCTCATTTGGCTGAATTTGAGGTTAGGGAGCCAAAAGCTAATCTTTTCTGAAGAGAGATACAAGATCCAGGGATGGTTTCAGTGTCTGAGTGCCCAGAGAGAGCAGGCAGATGTGGACAAAGACAGGAGTGACAATGTGGTGGGTGATAGGGTTAGTACGAAGCACCACCAGACCTCATCCTCATGTATGGTTTGGGCAAAAGCATTCCATCAAGAATGGAACTTCTGGGAGGCAGTGTGGAAACTAATGAGATTTTGTGTTGCATTCTCATCTAATGACAACCAAGTCATTGATTTGGCTAATTTGCTGGGAATTATTATGAAAATGCATTTTTTGATGGGAGAGTGAATGTGACAAGTCTTCTCTCCAGTATGGGGTCTCATGTTAATTGCTAAATGCGCTGAAGCGAGATTGTAAAAGGTGGGAACATATGCACTGTATTCCTTCTTTTGTTTTGTATGAATAAGCTGTAATACCCCCGCAAATGCAGAGAAAGCAAGAGGGGAAATCACAGCCCTTCCTGCAAAACGCAGCAGGGAGCTCTTCGCCTGCAGCTCGCCTATTGTGTGCCTCCCAAAGAGGAGCTTGTTCTGCTGAAATGCCAGGCGTCTCTGGAGCTAAGGTTATCCCCTGAGCAGAATATATAAATAAGAGATTACTTGCAAGCTCTGCGGCCAGACTTGGGGTGTAGGAAGTGTTTGTTTTTGTTTCTGTCACCAGGCAGCAGGGAACCCGTCGTCTTTGTTCTGGAGGTCATGCTGCTAGAGATGGCAAATATTGACATACATGAAGGTAGTTTTCATTTTCATGTGTTTCTTGTTACTTCTTACTGCTATGTTATTTTGCTTTTTTGTTCTCTTGTTTTCCAACACTTTTTTGTAATTTCCCCACTCAGGCTTTACTATCATGGATTGCAAACAGCATGACAGAAGTGCAGGGAATATTATAGTCTCATAACCTTTGTGATGACTTGCCCTGAATGAGCTGACAGCTTTAGTTTCAGCCTAATATGATACGGACAGGGGTCTGCATGCCAGAGGCATTAATTAGCAGACATGACACGGATTCTCTTGTAGAAACTGCACTTTCTTTCTGGTCCTTTTGCAGTTGTCATTTTAGCTCTAGGTTTAGAAGTGCTGTCATCTTATATTTTCTTTTGCTGTACCTGGCTGGTGCTTAGACAAAAGAACAGTTTAGCAGGATTATAAAGCACAAAATTGAAAGGAAGACGACTTAGAGACAAGAAACTTGCCCAATATACCTTCTCTTCTCTCTATCTGCTCTTCTCCAGATGATTTTATTTGATGCAACTGTGATTTCTACTTATTACTCATTACACTGAATACTTGTCTTCATTACTGATCAGTTCTCGAATTCAGGAAGACTGGCATACAGCTCAACTCACTGAGGTACGCTAGTAAAATCTGGAAGAGCCTGCAGAAAACCTGTAATATGAAATGATAAAACACAAGAATAAGCAACAAAATTTGTCCTGTTACTAATCAGCTCAAATTTGTAAAATCCTAGTGTATTTTCTGTTAATCATCAGGGATAAGCAGGAAATAACGTTTTATTTACTATTTTATTAATAACGTATTTACTGAAGTAAATATTTGTAGCTATAACCCTTACAACCACATCCAATAGGAATTACTTTAACATTCAGCATTCTGCAAATATAACATTGTTTGATTAAAAATCAATTTGCAAATAAAAGCGTTGACAAAGACCTCAGAAAGTCACCTAGATCTTCACAGCAATGGGTCAGTATTTTGAGTAACTTATATGTTTGATAAAGATTGCTAAGAGGAATCATATTAACCCATTAGGACAACTTACTGCCTGAGTAATTCACATTGACATTAATCACTAGCCACCGAAGCAGAGTTTTCTATTTCACATGTTCCTTGCTACCCATTTCTGCTATGTATTTTGCTTTCCTGATGATAATGTATATAGATAAATATTCCTTGCAGTGATAATGTTCTGGGTAGACATCCACTCTTACAAATTCTCCCAAATCCTCTTGCTTATGTTCAGTATTTCTGAAGCATCTTGGTAGCTGTGGCATCTTTTCAAAAGAGTCATTTTGGAAGCGATCACATAGCAACAGTAATTTCAAGTTTACTGTGTAAAAAAGATAGGGCATTTGACTGACCTGTACCAAGATTTAGCTTCTCAGCATTCCTACAAGAATATCCAATTATCCCTTAATAACCCATGGTGGTGAGGGAGGGAAGGGAGAATATACTTGTAATCACGTTGCAGTTATGATTCTGTCACTGTCCTTTCCCTTTCATCTGAAAATTACCCAGATTGGAAGCAAATCATTACTGAGCCAATCTTGATCACAGGAATTTGTTAATAAATAACACTCAGCACAGTTTATATTAATAATGCCTGGGTGTTAAAGGATTCTGTAGATTGCCTCCTAGGTGATTGTGTGATTAACCATTGACCTTTGTGTGTTGTTTCTGTCCCACCTGGGTGATTGAATCATCTGAACAAGGAACAGTGAGCTCTGATTATAAATTATGGGTTTTTTTTATGCAAAATGTTGGCTGATAATAAGTCATTGTACAATCCATGAAAAATTCAGGATTCACAAATGCCTCATGATTAGAGTCCTCACAGAAAAATGGCAACATGCCTACCCTGAATCATTCACAATTTTAATCTATGAACATAATTGTAAATCAAGATTCTCTTTGTAAGAGGGCCTTACCGTTTTGCCAGTTACACCAGTATGGGTGTAATTTTTCTCAGTGAGAAGACCCAGCAATGGGTTTCAGAGAGATCTCCCTGGCAGGAAAAGAGATGTTGCTTTTCACATACTGAACACTGAAGGTCAATATCTTCCATCTGTAAGCAACATTCAGGGGGCAGTTCTCCAATGTCAAAGCCCATCTGATTAGACAGCATCCATATCCAATGGTGCTTGCAAGGATGGGGCTTTATACACCTGACAAAATGCTGTCTCAGCTTCCCTGACTGAAGGCAGTCTACATTTACTACATCTAGCACAAACAGTAAATCTCTGTGGGATGGAAAGCAAGGCTATTACATGCCTTTAAAAGTCCTCAGTATGCTGCCCTGATTTATGTAACCTTACTGCACAGCAAGGCACTTCAATAAATGCTGATCTCATCCCAGCAACCAATGGTAAAGAACATTTCTGCATTATGAGGAGGAAAGTACTACCCCTCCACCTTCAGTCCCGAGCATAAGATAATACTCCCCCTCTGCCCCACCTCTGATGAGACGGCTACCAATCTGACCCTTGGTGCCCTTCCTAATACCACCTCCTCAGTGGTTTTAGGATAGTGCCTATCCTCAGAAAGGTGGTTTCCAGTAAACTGCTTCCAATAAACTGAATGAGGATTGTATCTTTATTGGTCTTAAAAAGACAGACATTGGCACTTATTTTCTCATTTGATGGCTTATTTCACTCCAAGCTCTCTGCAGCAGCAGTGAGGCTGAGACTCTCACCCACAGGAGGAATTCCTCTTTTGCTTTGGGGGAACTGGAAGAGAGAGGGAAATACTTGTCTCAGCATAAGGATCAAGGACCCTTACTACAACCTACCAGTTTCAAGGACCTTAATCTTGTTAAACTTTAATCTGACAGACTTTTCTGGACTACATGTAACAGAGGGATGCACAAAGCAATTGCTGTGGGATTGTTCACATTTGGTAACAAGATAAATAGTTTCGGAAAAAATTTGCTTCAGTTTTCTTAATTAGAAAAGAACATATATTGCTGAAAAATAGAGAAGAAAAAGGTTAGAGTAAATAGAGGGATGAAGACAAATGTAATATACAATGCATTACTAAAAATCTGTGTTTAGCACCCTATTTTTTTCAGTGATATTATAGCACTGAATTATTTATCTAACATTAATAGTATGTACATGTATATTTAATGTAGAAATCTTCATCCATTTGCAGAAGGGTTTTAAATTAGCACATGGGAGAGGCTGCTTCCTTGGGTGTTTGCATGACTTTATAGAAGCTGCCCTTCCCCAGCCAGTGAGCCCCATTCTATTTTTGAACATATTTCTGAGTTTCCATGCTGTTTGACAGAGGTCTGATAGAAATGCTACTCATGCTTCAAGCACATAAGAATACCCTGAGTAACAAAAGAAGAATAATATCTGCATCTAGTACACCCTACAGGGCAAGTCATGGGCCCTGGAAGGAGGCAGAGACAAAGACCACACCAGGAGCTGGCTGGGCACATTACCAGTAAGCCTAAAACAGCTGTGTTCCACTACTCAGAAGTCTTTTGCTGGGCAGAAGTTACATTTATCATTTTGTGACAAGGCAATCCAGGCAACCAAACCCCTTTATGGCCACCCTCCAAAGCAGTCTGAACTTTCCAGCATCAACATCTCCCCACCCAGCTAAATTCTTGCCACATCCCAAGGTTACACACTGCAGCGTAATTTCACTGAACTGTGGGTGTAGACTCCAAGATGTTTTTAAAATCATGGAGTTGATGGCCAAATATACTTCTTAAAATGAGGGTCCTATTAATACACCGGTCCTATTACATGTGCAACCACTTTGAAAATCACATTGACTTTTAGTTGGAGCTGGGTGTCAGATTCCCAAGGCTGGAAAGTGATTGTTTTGCTCTGCCTACAAACTACAACTTGATTATAAGCTGCTGCCTTTCTTGTTTACTTGGCATGAAAATTATGGTGTTCTACATAGGTAATAAAAAGATCATTTCTCCACAAGGATTTAGTTTGAGTTATTCTGAGCAGCTCCCAAGAGAAGTAAAAAAAAAAAAAAAAAGATTACTACATCTTTTAACATTCTAGTGAGGGAAAGAATTGAAGAGTTACAACTAAGTATGTATAACAAAACACTTCCTAAAAAATGCTGTACAGTAAATAATTGCCATACTCCTTCAGTCAGGACTCCTCTGATACAAGTCAGGCAGGATCCATTTCTGGCAGTATTTCTGGATAGGAAGAAGCCATTCCACATAGCTTAGTTTCATGAGCAGGGAAGGTCACAGGGAAGAGTAAGCATCCTATCTTCTGACATTACCACCAATGCTTGAGTGTCACGCCAAAGCAAGAGACTCCTTGACTGTAAACTCTCCATCCAAGCTCTTCTTGAGTCTGGATCTCCAAAAGCAAAGTTTAACAAGAATATTAATCTTTGTGTCTTCGTTTTTACTCCTCTGAGTTGACAAGTCTGCTTCTAACTTTTCAGAGATCCAAGATATTCTTACCTAAGCCCGCAAAACTTTCATCTGAGGATCAAAAACATCCTGGTACAATAAGAATAATTAATTTACCTTGTAGGATAATATATTTTAATCCTCCTGTAAGTTAGCTCTCTTCCCAGTTTTTCCACCACAGGAAGCCTCTTAGCAATCTTGAAACTTGAGAGACTTGATCCTCTCCTGCGCTAATGCACGCATGTATTATCACTGATTGTTTAGTCTCTCTTTAATCTATTTAAATGCATAATATAGACTTCAAACATATCACTTTATTTCCATTTCAAATCACATATGAGTCATTAAGCAGAGAGATTTGTTCACTGGTGGTTTTAAATGTTGGTAAGAGTCACAGAATTTGCTGCAGCCTTAACCACAGACAAACACCTTTTCACTTGAGTGCTAGAGGTGGACATCTCCCCAGAGAAGTACTCCTCGGGTGGGTGCTCTGTTTACTTTTTTTCCCCATTCTTTTCTCTTCCACTCTATATGAAAATCCTATAAGTTTTACTAAAATTGTTAATATTGCATGTTTGTAGTTGCTCTTATTATAAGTCTGCAAGTGTTTCAAAGCCACATGAAGCAATGTGCAAGTATTCTTATGAGAAGTTGAGATTTTCATTATTTGGCATATGCAGAAACCTTAGTAGCTTTGGACAAATATCCCAGACCAATGGATTCAGAGGAGCAGCACCAACTTGGCACCTGTATACCCACCGAGTTCAGTACATCTCTACATAACCCTTTGCTCTGCCCTCTGACCTCTCCTCAGTCTTGTTTGTCCTCAAAATTGCAAGCAGGGAATGAAAATAAATCCATGTAGAACATACAAAACATACTTTGGAAAGAGCAATGGAAATGATGATGACAAAGAAGTGGCTCAAGCAAGTCTTTCTTACAAAGTATTTTAACACACTCAGCTCCCCTGAAATGCTCCTTGGCAATGCCCTTCCAACAGAAAGATATGTGCTCCTCATGACACAAGTCTTGGAGCAGAGAGAATAAAAGGGGCTATCCATCCTGTCTGAAAGCAACAGCATTATCGGGACGGTTCTCCAGTCACTAAAAGCTGAAGCACGTACTCTGCTTCAACTTCTATGATTCCTCAAATGGATTTCTGAAATTCTCTTTAGAAGTTAAAATCTGTAAGAGATTGCCTAATTTCTCTTTTTTTCCCTAGGCTTTACAGAGGATGGACAGAAAAAAAAAAAAAAAAAAGTAGATTCATGCTATATTTATCAAGTGAACTGGTTAGGTTTTTAATTTACATATAGTAATTAATCTATTTTGAAGAACTAAGTAAACAGAAAAACCGCATCAGGTTGACTAACACTGAGCCACAAAGAAAATTTGTTAGGAAAGAAAATACTAATACAGATATGAAGTTGCATTTAAATAGAGATTAAAAAGACAGTGAACAAAAAGGAGGCACATAATTGAGGTAGAATCTTATGGAATATTGTACAGTCAATGAATGTACAGAAATTATGGTTATGAGGTACGCTAGAGAGCTTGGCTACACAGTTATTACACCAAAGCAGAGAAAAATAGGACACTTACCTGTACCCTGGGCTCGCTGAGTGAAACTCCAGCAGAGTGGATCTCCAGAAGAGAATCTTCCCCACTGCTAACCAGCTCTTAAATGGATCTAGGAGAAGTGGAGCCTGGCTCCACCCTTTCCAGCAGCACAGGTGAATTGCTTTCACCTGTGTTCCTGTGGCTGACTCATTGCTCACCTCAGGTGATCAATCAGAGGTTCAGGCCATGATTCAGCAGTTCCCATACAAATATTCACAAACTTACTCTGAGCATCAGTTTTATTTTTTACCAAATCCCAGGACATATAAACAAGCACTTTGAACATTTGACAGCTCAGAGGTGGTGGATCAAGTAAGCTTCCCTTCTGGTAGATGGACCCAGAAGCTAATCAAAACTATCTTTACAATGAAGAATTTTCATTTTTAAGAGGTTTGGAAATAAAAAGTTATAGGATAATGACGTCTTTGAATGAACTTACTTGTATTTACATTACTTATCAGCATAGTGAAACCTGTAGGATACGGGACATATAAAGACCATGTTTCAACCATCAGTTGACCCAAGAGTACTTAGTATGATAGCTGGAATTTTTCTCTTGAGAGTCATTGCCAGGAGCTGATTGATGCCAATGGACAATGGGGACAAGTAACTTCTATAATTCAACCTATAAACTGTGTTCCACCCCTTAAAAGCTCTGGGGATTATGGCAAATTTGGTGAGAATTCTCTGAGTTATCCTATGAAATAATGCTATTAAATTAAATGGCAAAGAGAAGGAAAAAGAAAGATATTGAATGCATCATGGAGAGCTCAGCAGGCCCACAGCCACCCCAGTGCCACCAGACATCCCTGTGAGGCAATGCTATTACAACCAGAGCAAGTGCTATACATCATCAAGAGATCTGGACATCTTTTATACAGATGGAGCAGTTAGACTTGACTTGCACAGTCAAAATCGCAACGGATGGCTGTTTTTATTGGTAGCTCTCAGGAGAACCTTTCTAAGCTGCTTATAAAGATAGTTGCAGGAGAAAGTATTAGGGTGGAATAAGGCCATGTTATTTTTAGAGTGAATCTGCAAAAATAGTTCTTCGTGTGATAGTTCTTCGTCAAAATTATCTGAATCAACACAGCACCTCTTTTAGAAATAAGAGCACTGGAGAAATTTGGTACATAGAAACAGTAAAATAGCATTCAGAATGACATACAAGTTAGCTCAATGATGATGCTTGGTCTTCAAACCAGATTTCACTGCTCTAATAGCCAGTTGCTATTAGGCTGTAGAACAAAACCCACAAAAAGAAATTCCTCAGTACAAGTAAAAGAACACTTACAAAACTCTGGTTTCAACTTTAGTGTTGGTTTTAATTCAGTAAACCTCAGAGATCATCGGGAGTTACAGCTGCAGCCCAGTTTTAGTAATAAACATCTCAGCATTCTGCTTTCTTGACTTATTCCAGTTTTTCTGCTGTGGCTGCTTTAGTTCTTAATGGAGTGAAAAGAAGAAAAATTGGGTACAAATAGTGTTGATTCAGTGAATTTGGAGCTTGCTTAATGATCATTGATAGGATTTTACGGGAAACAAAAGAAGGGGGAAAAAATGTTTTTTTCTGATGGAATTGGAATTTTTCTGGCTTTGCTAATAGCAGACATCTCAATGCCTCATGATGATCCATTCCAGTAACTTGTAAGTAAGCACTGAGAGCAGATTGGTTCCACATTCAGTGAAAGAAAATAAATAAATAAATAAATAGAGCACCATTAAATCACTTCAGTGACTTACAAATGAAAAGATTTCACTTGGGTGTCTGTGGAGAAAAATTCTGTAAGTAGTTTTATCTTGGCAATGTTGGGATCATTTCAAATGTCTTTTAAACAGAAACACTGGGTTGAAGCTGATCCTGGGACATCTGGAGGAACAGTGCCCTGGGCTGGTTTAGGCATCTGGCCCAGCTCCTGTCAGTACTGGAGAACTCATGAGACTGTTGGTAGACCTGACAGAGACCAACTGCCAGTGTTCTTCCTCCCTTCAGACCAAGAAACAGAGAAGGGCCAGGGAACACATCAGTGTCAAACAGATCTCCAAGTCTTCAAACTCAGGAAGACAAAAGTTACTGGAGATGCCAAGTGTTTATTCCATCTTGGCAAGAGCAGATCCAAGACTGCTAATAGGAGAACATTTCTCGGTTTTAATCTTTAGGTTCATCTGAAAGAAAATTGAGAGAGAAACCTCTGTGATCATGCTCCTCTGCAGCCTTTCTGGATTCTGTTGATACAAAGCAAGACTTACAAAGCATCAGATTTAGAGTCATAAATGAAAGAACAGCAATGGGTTGCCTACAAACTGTTTTGACTAGAAAACCCAGCAACACGTTTTTCCCTGAGTCAATTCAAGATTGAGCTCATGGGATTTCCTTCTTGATGAAGTGATATTGTAGGGGAGTAGGTAAAATGAAAGCAGTTTAAGACTGGCGGACATGACATATTATATTGTATTGTTTGACTGGAGCAAGGACATCTGGTTGAATATAATTTCTGCATTGGAATTATATATATATATATATATATATATATACACTAAATTGCTGGCACGATAATGCTTCACTGTCAAATTCTGAAAGTTAAAAAGCTAATTTTCAGCTTTTTTTTGTTTTCCTTTCTTCACACCTAATCAGCAGAATCTAGGACTTTCAAAAGGCAAGTATATTTAGCAGTCTGGTGGTATGACTGCAGTTTGTGGCAACATTCTGAGCTATCTTTAAGCTCACTCTCTTGGGTGCAACACAGTACTCATGTTGAAGCAGGCAGCCTGTCCAATTATTATGAAGGCCATTCTGAATCTTGTGTTACCATGGGGAATCAATAGCACCCAGTTTGCTGCTTAAATCCATGTGGAATACATGATAGTCAGCAGCAATTAGGCATCCAGAGAGCATCATGGGTGTCTCCTGAGCCACATTCCTGGCATGCAGCCAAAACCTATCATTTGCAGCAGCAGCGGAGAGTGACTGGATTCTCCTGAAATTTAAGTTAAATCCATGAGAACAGTGTTCATTTTTTCTTGGATAGCTCAGTTTTGAGCTATAAGTATACATTAAATCCTTACTGGAAGAAAAGTGAGTCGTATAAGAGTTAGCATGATCTTTCTCAACTTAGGTCTCTCTTTTTTCATTGATGATCGTTCAAGCAATTGTTTTTAATGTAGTTGGACTTGGGAAAAACTAATGAAACTGGAACAAACAGGAAGAGAGAGACAGCAAACATCTTCCAGAGCCAAAAGTACCAGTAACACTCTTCCCCCCCTCCTGCAAGGTCACCTCACCTTTGCATTTTACTGAAAGTAAATGATTGAAGCGAACTCTTTCAGTTTTGTTAATCTACATTTAATTTTTTGTTGTTGTTGTTTTCCCTAGGGAGAAAATTCCTCCTGACTTTCACCATGTGAAAACCAGTGAGCCAAATCCACTGCTGGAGTACACAGTAGGAAGATCACCGGAGTCAGGGGATGAAAGCTCATGAAAGCAAACTAGGGATGCTAGTATGCAATTACTTTCACACAGCAGTGGAAAGTCTCAGACATTATGTTTTCTTGTCCTCTTCCTTAATTATGATTTACAGTTACTAGGATTGATTCAAGAGAGCTGTCAGTATGGGAGGAACAGCAGCAGACATACTCACTCCTTTCTCTAAGGATATGATGGCATTAATAATATCATTTAAAAAAATCCATTATAAAATCCATAGGAACAAGCTTTTGAAACACCTCCTATTGCATTCGTACCAGTAACTTGTAAGAGTTGCTGAGGGAAGGGACTAATTGTGTATTCTCAGATAAGTGACTGCTCTAACAGGCATTATTTGATGGATTCCTGTATTTAAAAATAAAGGATTTAAACAGAAAATGCAACATGTAATTACTGAAGTAAATTGTGAAACGTTCAGACAAAATGACACACAGTTTCTCAGTGGGATAAGTCTGTCAAGATTTAGAAAGAACTTCAAAGTATTTCTCATTTTCCTGCATCCTCATCCTTTTTCCATGTGCCGATCCTAGACTTTCATCAGCTTGACTGGTGGCCATTCACCTGCAGTGGGACATTTAGCCTGCATCTCAGAAGTCTTTTTCCTCAGCGTTTTAGGGTACAGAGGGGCGCCTCAGCTATCCAGCCTGATAAGCAATTACATTGCTTCTGTTGATAGTGTGCCTTAGACTATTTTTCTCTTCAAATGAGATGGTGTTTCCTAAGCTTTCTGTTCAACAAACTGGAAGCCCACTGACTGCTTACTCCTCATTGCAAAGAGACAAACTGCTGCTGTTTCTCCTTTATCTTCTCTAGCCTTACAGGCTGCAGTAGAGTACAGAGGGACTTTTTTTTTTTTTTTCCTCTCTCTCTCTCTCTCTCTGCACCAGTAAATGAGGTGGCAACCAGAAAGGTCAGTATCAGTGCCTCAATTGCAAACAGCTGGGTTATCTGCTCCACCATCAAGTGCTGTCTGCATTAACAAAGAGCCTTCATTACAACAGCAGATAGCTACAAGGACAGGCTGGCAGAGAAAGAAACTGCTTTTACAGCCTGTGACGTCAAGATAAAAAAAATTACCCAGAACACTCCTAAAAAGTGGGGTAAAGTCTTATTCTGCTTCACTTACACGCTATTCCTTACTTCTTGCTTCATGTTTTTTTTTTTCCTCCCTCTTCAATCATGGTGTTTTATGTGTGCAAAGATACATTTCTTAAAAATTTCTCTTAAGATTAAAATTACAAGGGAGTTCTGAAGAAAACATACTATTGAACTTCAACTTAGTTTTGCAGGGTCAGTTTGGTTATTATGGAATCAGAAATATCAGCAGATCCTCCATTATAATAAAACTGTGTAGCTATGACAGTTAACGCAATGTGAAAATATGCTTTCTGTGATGCAAGATGATTACTTCAACAATACTATTTTTTTGCTCAACAAAATATACATATAAGTCAAGCCATCTGAATGATTGATGAAGATAATTACTCATTTGTTATAAACAAAAGGTACTTTTAAGTAAATTTAACCAGCTTTTTACTGATTACACTCTTCATG